TTGGTCTTGAACAAGCGTAGGGAACTCCTTGGTGAGAATCATCGAGACACTCTGTGGGCCATGGACAACCTGGCACTCAGGTACTCACAGATGGGACAAGTTCACAAAGCTGCAGAACTGGAGAAAGTGGTCTTGAGCAAGCGCAAGGAACTCCTCGGTGAGGACCATCCAGACACTCTGAGGGCCATGGGCAACCTGGCAACCAGATACTTGGAGATGGGACAGGTTCACGAGGCTGCAGAACTGAAGAAAGTGGTCTTTGACAAGCGGAGGGACCTCCTGGGTGAGGATCATCCAGATACTCTGATGGCCATGGAAAGCCTGGCAATCAGCTACTCAAAGATGGGACAGTTTCACCAGGCTGTAGAACTGGTGAAAGTGGTCTTGAGTAAGCACAGGGAACTCCTTGGCGAGGATCATCCATACACTCTGAGGACCATGGGAAACCTGGCAGGCAGCTACTCAGAGATGGGACAGACTCACGAGGCTGCAGAACTGGAGAAAGTGGTGTTGAGCAAGCGCACGGAACTCCTTGGCAAGGATCACCCAGACACTCTGATGGCCATGGGAAACCTGGCAGTCTGGTACTCGCAGATGGGACAGTTTCTTAAGGCCACAGAATTTGAGAAAGTGGTCCTGAGCAAGCGCCGGGAACTCCTCGGCGAGGATCATCCAAATACTCTGATAGCCATGGGAAATCTGGCAGCCACCTACTCGAACCTGGGATAGCTGCAGGATGGGGCAGAGCTGGAGAAAGTGGTCTTGAACAAGCGCAGGGAACTCCTCGGCCAGGATCATCCAGACTCTCTCTGGACTCTCGCCAATTTGGGGTTCACTTATTTCCAAATGGGTCACCTTGCCGAGGCACGCGAGCTTCAGGAGCAGGCCTTTACTGCACGCAGGCGGGTCTTAGGTGAGGGTCATCCGGACACCATCCGCACCGCAAATCAATTGGCTGCGACGATTGAACAATTGGAAGGTGCAGCGAGTCAGTGAAAGAGTCAATAATCATTTTCAGTAAGTTGAGTCTTCTCATTGAATTAATTCCGTCAGATCTCTGGCTTCTTGAAGGACAGTGAAATGTCATTGGGGGTTAGGGATTCTTGTTGGTTTCGTTAGAATGGTCCATAGGGTTCCTTACTTGTACTTTGCGCTGTTCCATTTATAAACTTTGTGCCGTTCCATCTCTAAACAGTCAATCAACTTTGACTAACCGAGTCGTTTCAGGAGTTACCTCCTTGCATAGCGGAGCATTCCGATAGGTGAACAGGTCTTCGTACGGCAACACAGCTCGCTTTTGCGTTTTGTTAAATCCCCATTCAACTGCGAAGGGAAAGTGGGTGGGTCAATCCCGCCCAGAGGCATAGAATGCACAGTATGTATGCTGTTTTGATTCATCCAAGTCGCGCATGAGCCTCGCAGAGAAACGGAGCCAATGGGCTTAGCCTCGGAGATGTCAGATCAGTTCCAACATGGTGAGTTATTTTAGTCCCTCAGTCGAGGATCAGAATCTACCCATCTGGCAAGCATCGTATAGCGCCAAGGAAACCTTTGTGAAACATCGCTCCCGCCTCTTTATCACTCTGCTCGGTGCTAGTTGAAGGGAGAGCCGGTGGTTCGACCCCGCTCGGAAGCATTCGCGAAGTAGGCAAACTCTTTATTTGAGGTCGGTGGGAGCACCGCGGTGGCCCGCGCAGAAATTACGCATTCAGCAGATGTGCACGGGCAAGGTGGATGCAGACAGTCACGATGCGGAGGAGACTGAGCGCCAATCAGTCAGTCGTGGCTTATTCGATTACTAACGTGCAGAAGAAACGTACCTAGCGAGGATAAATGCCGACTTGCGAGATAAGTCTTCGGGGAGCATGGCGCTCGCTCCCGCGCTTTTATAATCATGCAAACGAGAAGCCACTCACTCACCTGGCAGGGTGCGAAGCTGGCCGAGGAAATCTTCGTGGAGGACAGAGGCTCGCTCTCGTCCACTGCTCCCGCGCGGAAAAGGTAATGGGAGAGGGAGAGCTGGCGCCCCACCCCTGTCGAAGGCGTATGGCGTATACGAATCCTTTTTCTCGAAGGTGCGTACTTACTTAGTGTATGCGCACCACGGAAGAAGCTTCATTGATGCGACGCGAGGCGGAGACTCTGGGTGCTTGATGGCGAGCGCGGGGACACACGAGCGGGCGGTACATATCGCAGTGCTAACAAGCGGGAAGAATCACAGCGCTCAGCCAGCCATAGAAGACTCGGCCGGACGCGAGGCAGAAAGTCGGAAACTCTGGAACTTAGAGTGGCACGGGGAGATTCCAAAAACATCGCGTTCAGACGAGATAGGACGGAGCAGATTACAAGTGGGGGCTCTAGGGTAGGGGTATCCTCGGTAACAGCGCAGACCGGGAGGAAACAAGATATCATGCGAGAAGGGACAGGTCCGTGTGTGCGTGCGTAGGTATCATGACGGGACGGGGATCTGAAGCGGAGTGGAGTCGAGGCGGTGTGCGGAGCGGTGTGCGGCGTGGAGTGGAGACGGCGTATGGGACTCGAAGACGATGCGAGACAGCGGTGCGTCCGTGCGAGATGCCGTGCACCACTCCGCCTGGAGGGATGAATGCTAACGCAGCAGCGCCGCGCCGAGTAGGACGCCTGCCAGGCTCGCTGCTACATCGCCCAGTGGAAGTCCGAGCGGGTGGGCTGGGTGTGCAGCGGCGGCGTTACTCGGCGTCGTCGTCGGCGCCGACGAGAAGCTCGCGGGCGCCGTCCCGGTGCTTGACCTCGCTCCGCTACTTCGCGCCACGGAGCTCGAAGTCGACGCGGAAGAGGCGGAGGTGGACGACGGGAAGGGGAGGGACATGGGCCGCGGCGATGCAGAAATGCTCGACGAGCACCTCCGCGGAGGGGACCTTGGCGGGGCACGCGGTGAGGCACGAGACGAGGGCGGCGGCGTACGTCGTCGCGCTGCGGACAGAGGAGGGTAAAGGGAATAGAAAGGAATGGAGTAGACGCACAGCGGAGCGACGCAGAAGCAATTCACCGTGACCTCGGAAGCGCAGTTCGCGACCTCGGGCGAGCTCGAGGCAGTTCGCCACCCCACCAATGTACCCTGAAACGGAGGGAGGATTCAGCGCACGCACCGCACGAGGAAACCCTACTCAGGGAGGGCGGCACGGTCGTGTTGGTCGGCGTTCCAATCACGCTTGCGCTGGCGCTACTCGCGGCCGCACTGGCGCTCGAGCCTCGAGCTTGAAGTGGATGACGAGGACGCAGCGCAGGCGCCGAGTGCGAGGGCGAGGGCGAGGGGTGGGGGCGGGAGGTGCATCGTCCTGGCCGGGCGGACCGTCAGAGAAGGATGAGAGTGGAGCACAACGGGAGGGAGACATTTAGAGGCGCGGCGGGAGATGCCGAACGGATCATGATGCCCATTGCCCAAGTGTGATCTGTGACCGTGCCGTGACACTCTCTTCCAACTTATCTTTCCTCCGTCCCAACTCCGTCCTCCGACAACCAGCTTCTACAGATGCGCGAGATGCCGCTCTCGACGCCCCTGTCCTCATTACCTCTAAACTCATCCCTGCGCTCGACACGGAGCCCGCTCAAGCCTGCCCGAGCGCAAGCAGCAGCGGGACCGGGTCGCCCACAAATTCGGCGGAGCTGCCTCACTTAAATCGGAGTGGCTTCTTGGGCGGTGCGTGCCTTGCCGCTCGCTGGTGTTGCCTTGCTGATACGATCATCGATTGGGCACTGCAGCACGCCCCAGGCGCCGCCGCATCCGTGAACTGCACCTCCGCGGTCATCGTCAACTTGATTCTTCCCCACGGCGCCTTGCGTCCAATTCTCCGTTCTATTATCGCTCGCTTTGCGCCCTGATCCGGAACGCGCCGTGCCATTCTAATCTTCACCTCGGATTCCATCCATCTTGCACCATATCCCGCATGCTATTATCGTCCTTCATCCTGTATGTCTCCTCGTCTCTCCCTCGGACCTGCCTCCTCGCTCTATGCCCTCGTGCTTCTATGCTCGCCTCCTCCGGCGGCTCTTCATACCGCGATGTAGTTTCTATCAGTGCAACAATAATTGACTGTGTAGCGGCCCCGTCCCATCCGTGCTCAAGACTCTCACCGCTCCGTCCGCATCCTGCTTTCTTTCTGAGACTCTTCTCTGTCTGTCTGCGCATCCCCGCGCTCGCGGCCCCTGAAGATCCCCACGCCGAGCTCGCACATCTTCGCGGCGCCCTCTCATTTCGATAAGGGGGGTTACGTATGGAGTTCCGCGCCGCTCGAGCTTCAGACCTCTTCTCTGTCCGCTCCTTCGGCTGTATCCTGCGTGCGAGCGCGCGATCTCCCGCCAGACACCGTTCCTCAGACCTGAGCGGATTCACTCATTATTGCAGATCCACCCCATTATTTGCACGCTCATCCCTACAATCCACGCTCATCCCTTCGCAGGCGTGCAGCGTTCGCCCGCATGAGTTCAGTGCCCGCCAAAAGGTCAACAGTTACAGCAGGGCGCAACCTCCCAGCCAAGTCGTCGTAGCGCAGGGCCGCGCTCCCGCTTAATATGCGCAATCCAAGCCTTACCTGGGAGAAGCGGTGGTTCGACTCCACCCGACGACACTGATAAGGGGCAGCACGATTTTTTCCGCCGTCAGTGTACGCTGCAAATTATCTCGGACGGCGTTGGTAACATTATCACTAGGTTTGCATGCGAGACTTGAGGAAGGGAAGCCTGGCGTGCACGACTGAAGATCAGCGGGACCGTTATATTCTAGATCTGTGCGCAAAGCGCGCCCCTATCCAGCTTCGCACGTACCCATCCAAGTCCTCTGGAGCGTGGGGCTCGCTCCCATCCCGTACGCCGGCAAATTCCTCACTATGAGAGAGACGGTGGTTCGAGTCCACCCGGCGACGTGGTGGGCGGGCGTTCGGCTGTTCTTTTTCATTAACCGTCCTAAGTGATAGATACAGTTGGCTTGAGGCGCCAAAGTACCAGCGTAGATCCACTGAGGAGTCTTCGTGGAGCATGGGTGCTCGCTCCCGCCTGATATGACTTGGAGAAACACGTGTCATCTGGGAGAGGCGGTGGTTCGACTCCACCCGAAGACCTTGGCTGGGAAGTTTTTTTTTTTTTGGAGTCTTGGATCGTACGCTGCGCAGGTCACTTGAATCCCGGCGTTCTTGGTTATTTGTATGAAAGGCGGGCGCCTATCTGACCTCGTAGGTCCACAGCCAAGGCTTCGTGGAGTATGAAATTCACTCCGTTGCCGTGCGAGATCTGCGGTGGTTCGACTCTACCCGAAGTCACTAGGAAATCGTTGGGGTCGGTTTGTTCCTAACCTCGGCGTGCCCGCGGCTGGTGAAGGGCGCCCATCCTGTCAGCATGTTAGGAGGCATGTTTTGCAACTTGAATCCGATCGAAGAGCTCAAAGGTACGGTGGAAATTGATTAGCCTGAAGCTGGTTTGAATTATCACATTTCGTGTCCATGGGGGTATGCAGCTGCCCAGATATCCCTACAATTCTTCGTGGAGCAGGGCAGCTTAATCCCACTGTGTATTCATAAAGAGTCTGTGTAAAATGAGAGAGGCGGTGGTTCGAATCCACCCGAAGACACGAGGGTGGGTCGTTTCTGACGTTTTGTTGCAGACGCTGTGGATTATCCGCGGCTTGGATTCTAAGCGCATTGAGTACCATGAGTGCCGGAGGACCGGATTCAAAGAGACATTGACCCAAATCCTTGATACGCACCGGGCTCGGTCCCAACGAGATCAACGCCGGGATGAATCAGGGATTGGATATTAGGACAGGGAATTTTGTGTCCTGCAGGCCTTTCAGCGTCGCAGAGACCCCTGCAGCTCCTCGTGGAGCATAGTGCTCTTTCCCGTCCGCTGAGATTCGAGTCCAGCCGAAGCCATTGAAAAAACAATGATTCCTTTTCTCTCTTTGTCGTCCCAGGACCTTGTTTCCTCTATATTCTGAACCTCCGACCGCGCCTTCGTCGCCTGCCCCTTCCCGTACCGCTCAGCTTGTAGATCTTCGCGTGCCCGTTGCATCCTCCAGCTCTATCAACATTTCGTCATAGATCATACGTATCCCGAATTTAAGATGTGCACCTATTGAGCACGATATACACACTTGCACTGAAATGAGTCTGAGTGGAGCAAAGCTCGCTCCCCAGTAAGTTAATAATGCTGCCGCTGGTGGGGAGGAAGGTTCACGGCGCATGGAGAGAGAGAGTAATGCGGGGAAGTACTCAAGCTGGCGGATACAGAATCCAGACATAGATCCAGGAAAAACTCGGCACGGCAGCCAGTCAGTCATTCGGTTGAGTCAACACACAGAATTGACGGCCTTTATCAGCCTCGTAGAAGGTGAAATAGGTCTCCGTGGAGCAGGGAAGCTCGTGCCCGCCCATTCCATGCGCAATTTCAGTCAAGGGAGAGCCGGCGGTTCGACTCCGCCAGAGGCGTTGAGTGCGCGTAGGTGGCCTTTTGTCGGCTGCAGTGGGTACTGGGAGGAGCCTCATGAAAAATTCAGCGCGCTAGCGTACCCTCAGAGCTATCGCATACGTGAGACAATCACTCCCCACCGGCACAAGCTGGACACAAGCTCTAAATTGAAGCGAGGATTCCGGGGCGGCTTGGAGGCGCCAGCAATAAAAGCGGAGGGATATGCCGCAAGAGGTTCTGGGAATTTTAGGCGCTCGTGTGGTAGCGAGCTAGCTTCGACCGCGCGCTGCCGCCGGATACCAGAGGAGGTGGCGGTGTTGATCAATTGAGGGAGCGCTGGTGGTTCCACCCGAGGACATTGAGCGATGCTGTACATGCTTTTTCTCCATCAATCCCTTGCTCAGGCGAGATGCGCACCTGTTCAGCCTGATATATGTACACAGAAATACGTCTTCGTGGAGCAAGGAAGCTTGCTCCCTAGTAATAATTCTGTCAGCTGCTGCTGCGGAGGGAGAGACGGCGCTTCGACTCCGCCAGAAGCATTCTCGGTGAACTCGTTTTTTAACCAAATTGCTTGAACAAGCGGAACTTGTGGGCGCTAGCTTGAGTTTCACAGCACACGGGGCAGAATGGGTTATACGGGTAAGTATGCAAGCTGACGGATACCGACATGGATCAAGACCTACAGAAACCACGGAGATTGTATGTGACTCAGTCAGTCATCACCTTGAGTCAACGCACAGAATTGACACACATATCCACCCGCACAAATGTACCTGCACGCCTCCGTAGAGTACGAAGCTCGCTGCCACCGAGTGGTCGGAATCCCCTTTAAATTCAAGGGAGAGATGGCGGTTCGACCCCACTCGGAGGAAGGAAATGTTCTTTCTTTCCAGGCAAGGTGCGTATGCGAAGAATGGAGCAGTGGGCGAGCCACGAGGCAGCGAATCCCCTCGGGGAGCATATCGACTAAGACGCCGCCGTTAGCTACAGCACAGCGTTGGGCGCCATTGCGGTGAGGGGAGATATGCGTACAGCAGCAGGCTCAGCACGATCGATCCCTCCTTTTCTCCTTTTCTTTATTCGTTTTGGGCTCTGCGACTCGATTGGCGAGGATACGTATGTAGGAGAGTCGCATGATTTTTAGTTGCGGTGCTTGAGCGGGGATTTTGCATTTCGGGCTAAGGCGCGCGCGGATAAGGTGGAATGGCCATGAGGCGGGAGGATGAGAGGTCGCTTTGTAGTATTAATCTAATTAAAGCGGACAGAGCACAGGAGGCGCGCGGACAGATGGACGACTCGGCCAAGCGGTGCGCAGAGAATCTGGCGGTCGGTCGGATGGCCGGTGCCAAGCCCCACAGCGGAGGCCATTCAGTGCAGGACTGGTCGGAACTTGAAGCTTGAGCGGATCGAGGGGGAAATAAAGCAACTTGACAGCTGAGAGATATCGTGCGGGACAGTAGTGCGAGTAGGACTGGTTGTGCGGGTCGATGCGATGCCTGCACAGTGATAGATTTTGTAGGCGATGGGAAGTACAACAACGTATATCAGACATGACGGGGACGAATCGCGCGAGTGCGCACAGACGCAGACGGGACTTTTCGAGTGCAGACCCGACTGGCCCAAGAGTGCGACCTCCCAGGAGCGACTCGGACAGTGCGAGCGGAGGCGTGGTATCCGCGATAATGGGATGGGCATTAGAGAGACTCTGGTTCGGGCGATAGTACGCAGTGTGATGACTGACCGTGAGCGATTCCCCACACAGAAAAAGAGTCATGACTAGGTCAAGACGAGCGCGAGTCAGAATTCCGGCTCGAGTGGTCGCGTAGAAGAAAAGACAAAGGGATGCGCGCAGAGGCGGCCGCCGGGAAGACACCGCACTCCCCGTGCGGTATTGAATCGCCGGAGCACACTCAAGTTTTTTTTCGAGCGCGGACTTGCAAGGTCTGAAGAGTGACCGAGCAAGCGAAGGAATGTCGTCCGGAAGCACGGCGGAAGCGGATAAGATCAGTGACGCAGAGTTTACACCATTATTCGACACTTGTTCGACACACAGAACTGAGAAAACGGGGCCAGTAACAGGGCAGATTGAGAATTCCATCTCGAGTGGGCGCGAAGAAGAAAAGACAGAGAAATGCATCAGTAAAACAGCACATTTGTCTTTGGCATCTTTGGCATCTTTGCCAAGACACCAATTAGGGGCATTACTAGCGGATCGGGAGAATCAAGACAGTGTGGAATTTCGCACTTTTCGACGCAACTTGTTTCACGGCTCCCTGCGTCACATTCTGGAGTCCTTTCGGCCCGCGATGACTGTTCCTGAAGTCGCTCACTTCGCCGATGGACATGACCGCCGTGTTATATACGGGCTCGGTCCCTACATCGCCGATTACCCCGAGCAGGTTCTTCTCGCTTGTACGGTGCAGGGCTGGTGCGCAAGGTAAGTCCCGCAGCACATTCAGGCTGTAGTATACGGCTCACGCTGTCTGTTGCTCTCACAGGTGTACAGCTTCGAACAAAGATCTGGACGGTCCGAGTGGGCGTCGATCTCAGCGCCATACTGAGGCCTTATTCGACGCGTTCGACCACAAGACCCTGTGGGATGACTACGGTGTTATTCCGGACGTTCTGGTGCGTAATCCCTCATCCTCATCGACGCTATTGCTGATATCATTCACAGCCTTTTACCTGGACATTTCCGCGCGCGGACATCCACGAACTCTTATCCCCCGACCTTCTGCACTAAATCATCAAAGGTACATTCAAAGATCACCTCGTTACCTGGGTTGGCGAGTACTTGGAGGAGGTCCACGGGAAGTCTGAGGCTAAAAAGATCATGGCGGACATCGACCGGCGGTATGAGAACATTCCATGCTCCTGCATTCAAACTTATATCGTCACAGGATCGCCGCTATTCCTCCGTTCCCAGGTCTGCGCCGCTTTCCTGAGGGTCGAGGCTTCAAACAGTGGACAGGCGACGACTCGAAGGCGCTTACGAAGGTCCGCATTAATTTTCTCTCAAGCTACGATCCGAACTCATAACTCACAGGTTTACCTCCCTGCCATCGAGGGTCACGTTCCGGCCCAGATGCTGCGCGCCTTCAGCGCGTTCCTCGACTTTGCTACCTTGTTCGACGGAATATCGTCGGAGAAGCTACGCTTGGCGCAATCGATGCCGCGCTCGTGCGGTACCATGCCGAGCGCAAAATTTTCGAGGAAAGCGGTGTCTGTCCAAATGGGTTTTGCCTCCCGCGCCAGCACTCTCTGACGCACTGTCGCGGACCTTGACGTTCCTCTGGCTGAGGTTCCCCTCGACGGTTGCCCAGACGCTCCCCGCAGCATCAGGGTATTCCCGTCGGCTATTGCGACTTTCTATGCCCCAAGTGACCAATCTGGTATTGGTGGTATGCTTCGGGAGCGCATTAGGGCAGTGCGCACTTGGCGGGGCGGTCCTCCCCGTTACGACTGTGTCTATGTTGAGCAGGACACTGAGAAGCCCGGTTTCCGTGGGCTTCTGGCCGCGCGTGTGCTGCTCTTCATGTCCTTCAAGCATGAGGGCGTCGAATATCCATGTGCGTTGGTAATATGGTTCTCCGCTATCACTGATGAGCCCTGCCCCGATGTCGGGATGTGGATGGTCGAGCCGGATCTTGATCATCGTCGCCGTCGGGTTATGGACATTATCCACGTCGACTCAATTCTCCGAGGAGCTCATTTGGTCCCTATCTTCGGAGACCACTTTCTCCCTCGTCACTTTAAATATTCTTCATCTCTCGATAGCTTTAGAGCTTACTATATCAACAAGTACGCAGATCACCATTCCCATGAAATCGCATTTTGAATACATTATTTCCTTCCCGTCTTTCGTGCCAGTAACCTCTTTGACATCTTTGAATTCTTGAAATGCGGATAAATGTGGAAGACGCGCGGGAAAGACGAAGGCATGTGAAATAAGACCAAGATCATCAAAGATGGGGGCGTCCAAGACGAAAGACTCGCCGCCCAAGACGGAAGCTTCCAAAGAACTATTCTCAAGACTAAAGTCAATTCCCAAAGACGAAAGAAGCCAAAGCCAAATGTGCTGTTTTACTGATGTGGGGGTAGACAGAGCCCCAGGGCGGACGCCGCAATCGTGCATGCTCCCCGGGCGGCGTCGAGTCGCCG